TTAAGTGCAGTGGAGTTGATACCAACTCATAGAATCCTTGTACAGGGTTTCCTGAGGAATGGCTAGTAGGTTTGAACCACTGACCTTTCAATTAGCAGTCAAGTACTCATCCTAAAGAGTCACACCAGAACTCTTAAGAGTTAAATAGCAGTATTTTAAACTGTTGAATTAATTTGTTTTTGAAATCAGTACAACACTGGATTATCTGGTAATACTGGTCAAATGACAAAGATGACCAGTGCTTCTACCCAGAATAATATATATTCTGTAAAGATGTTAGCACTTACGGCTTTGAATGGATCATCTGATTTACATTATACCTACATTATCTCCAAAGGGAGTGATTTGAGATGTGTTGCTGCTGCTGCTAAGTAATCGAATTAGTAGTGACTCACAGTGACAGTATACAGACAGTGTGTCGAGTTTCTGAGACTGTAAATCTTCGCAAGAGCAAAACCCATTTCTCCCCAGATCTTGAACCCAGGACCTTGTAGATTAAAGTCCAATGTTTATCCTACAGAACCACTGTGCTTCTCAGGCTAAGTACAGTGCGGTTAATTCAAAATTTCTAAGAGAAATTTATCTGGATACTTTATTGTTCATCCTATAACCCCAGAATTTAACTCACAAAGTCTCAATCCTGCCAAGCTGGTTCTTGGTATTCACTAAATATGGTAGACTAAATATGATGCTAATCTGTAATGTAAAACAAACAAAACAAAAAACTTGTATCCTAAAAAAAGAAAAATTTCTGAATCTTATTATCATAAGACTCAGATGCTAAACATATTAAACAATGATATTTAGGAAGTTTTTGTTGTAGTACAGTGTTGACAAGTCAGTTCCGACCCATAGCAACCCTGTATAGGGTTTCCAAAGAGCAGCTGGTAGGTTTGAACCACCAACCTTGAGGTTCAAACGGACCTTGCAGTTTAGCACATTATCCTGCAGTGCCACACCAGGACTCCTACTTAGAAAGTTGTTGTTAGGTGCCATCAAGTCGGTACTGACACATAGTGACTAACTCATAGTGACCTTATGCACAGCAGAACTAAACACTGCCCAATCCTGGGCCAATCTCACTACTGTTAACACTCTTGAGCTCACTGAAGCTGCCACTCTGCCAATCCACCTCACTGGGGGTCTTCCTCTTTTTCTCTGACCCTCCGCCTTACCAAACATGATATCCTTCTCCAGCCATCCTGGCCTCCAAGGAGCACTCTGGCTGCACTTCTTCCAGCACAGATCTGTTGGTTCTTTTGGCAGCCCACGACACTTTTCAACATTCTCCTCCAACACCATAACTCAAAAGCATCAATTCTTCTACGGTCTTCCTTATTCACTGTCCAGCTTTCAAATGCATTTAAGGTTATTAAAAAATACTATGGCTTGCTTGGGTTAGGTGCACCTTAGTCCTCAAACTGACATCTTTGCTCTTCAACAATTTAAAAAGGTCTTGTGCAGCAGATTTTCCTAATGCAATATGTCGTTTGATTTCTTGGCTGCTGCTTCCATGGGTGTTGATGAAGTCTTGAAGTCCTTGACAACTTCAATCTTTTCTCCATTGATAAGAATGTTGTTTATTGGTCCAGTGGTGAGCATTTTTGTTTTCTTTACATTGAGATGCAATCCATACTGAAGGCTGTGCTCTTTGATCTTCATCAGTAAATATTTTTCAATCCACTCTTTCAGCAAGCAAGGCTGTATCATCTGCATATGGCAGGTTGTTAATGAGTCTTCCTCCAATCCTGATGCTACGTTTTTCTTCATATAACCCAGCTTCTTGGATTATTTGTTCAGCATAGGTTGAGTAAGTATGGTGAAAGAATACAACCCTGTCGCACACCTGTCTTAATTTTAAAACATTCAGTGTTCCCATGTTCTGTTCAAACACTGCCTCTTGGTCCATGTACAGATTCCTCATGAGGATACTTTAAGTATTCCGGAATACTCATACGTTGCAATGTTGACCTAGAAAGTAGGACTACTGAAATGTGGTGCTGAAATGTTCAAATCATATATTTAAAATGATATCCACTTATCGTTTTAAAAGGCTGTCTGGGAAAATATAAAAGATGTAAGCCAATCATTTATTGTTACTTCCCCAAATTGGATAAATAAGTCATCTAGGAAGAAGATTAAATGGATACACAGGAAGAAATAATAAAAAACATTTGATTTAAAAAAAAAAAAGGAAAATAACCAGTGGAAAGACAAGCAATAAGTAATTTAGGATTTGGCTTTCTCTGCTATGCTGGGTGTGCAAAAGGAAGCAACATAGAAACCAATGGCCCCAGAGGCATAGCTGTGTGTCAGAGAAGAAGGTCAAGCAATGTTTATAAACATGTTGAGACATAGCCAGCAAAGTTTGAGGATAGATTAATGATAAGTACACTGAAAATAAGAGTCCTGGTATAGCGCTACAGGATAAACACTAGACTGTCAATTGCAGGGTTGGCTGTTCAAACCCACCAGTGGCTCCTCAAAAACCATAGACACAGTCACTATGAGTCAGAACCAACTCGATGGCACACAACAACACACAAAAAAATACAAACGAAAAGTTAAGGCAGGTATTTATCTGTGAATAGTGTTTGCAAGAATAGTGTCACAAGAGCAAAGATGGCAGAATGAGTATTAAGGAGGCCTGGCCCAAGCCAAGGCATTTTCAAGAGTTTCACATGCATGTGAAAGTTGGACAATGAATAAGGAAGATCATAGAATAATTGATGCATTTGGGTTATGGTGTTAGAGAAGAATAGTTAAACTACTATGAACTGCTAGAAAAATAAACAAATCTTTGCTGGAAGATATATAGCCAGAATGATCCTTAGAACCCAAGTTGCAAAACTTCTCGCATACTTCAGACATATTACTATGAGAGACCAATTCCCGGAGAAAGAGATCAAGCTTGCTAAAGTGGAGGATCAGTGAAAAAGAGGCAGACCCCAAAAGGGATGGATTGGCACAGTGGCAGAAACAGTGGTTTCAAACTTAAGGACTGTGATGATGGCACAACACAGGGCAATGTTTTGTCTGTTGTGTATATGGTCTCTATAAATTGAAACCAACTCAACAATTGAAACTCAACAACAAACAGAATTTACATTGTGATAATGCAAACAGTACTGTTCTAAAATAGTGTTACTATATGATGATGATGTGACAATGGGAATGATCAGTGATGTGAAAAAAATCTAATTTCCATACTGGAATGGTACTAGTTAATACCTGAAACTAAGATTAAGGTATGACTTCATGAGCAAAATATTGTTGTTAAGTGCCGTTGAGTCGATTCCGACCCATAGCGACCCTGTAAAGGGTTTCCAAGGAGCAGCTGGTGATAGGAGCATATAGAAGTATGGGAATACATATCATACAGATTGCTAAAGCATTGGGAATAAACTGTCTGTGGAGAAATTGTAGAAGGAGTGGAGAGAGAAGCATGTTAAAAACAAAACAAACAACTATTACTCAAAAATGATGGCTAAATTTCCAGATTTAAAGGGCCAACAAAGATTTATCACAATTAGTGATAAAAATGTACCCATTTTTTGTGAAACATTAGAATACCCACAAGCGAAAGCTTCTGGAAAGTATGTGTGAAGGATAAAGTGGAAGCATATGCCAAAAGAGAAAAGGTATCCAAGTTCTCAACAATCTTCAGAATTTTGAGGAAAACCAATTCTTAAAATCTTCTACGGAGAAAATTCAAATATTAAAAAAAAAAAAAGACATTTTCAGACATACATAATTTCAAAAACTGTAAGATGCTTTCTAAGGTCACTGTGGAGTCCTGGTGGCACTGCAGGATAAAGCACTGGACTACAAGGTAGGTTTAAACTGCAAGGTAAGTGGTTCAAACACATCAGCTGCTTCTTGGAAACCCTATTCAGGGTTGTTCAGAGTCAAAACCAACTTGACAGCACTTAACAATAACAAACAACAAGGTCATTATAGGAGTAGGCGCCAAATAAGAAAAGGATCAAGGGATCCAAAGCAGTTACAGTGAAACTCTAGGAAGACAATGTAGACATTCCCAGGACAAAAGCTAAAGCAAAATAGAAAAAATATATGTACACCCACTCCTCACTCAAGAGTTGTGGTGTGGCATCATAAGATAAGCACTCAATTGCAAAGTTGATATGAAATATAAAGTTGGCAGTTCAAATTCACCAGTTGCTCCTCGGCAACCCTATACAGGGTCACTATGAGTCCGAACCAATTCAACAGTACTGAAATAACTCCTCACTTACTGACATGGCTAATTTGCAAAGAACAGTTCATTATGCAAAAATTAGAATTTTTCAAAAAGAGAGGATTACATCAGATCACAAAATGGAGGATGACAATATCTTTCAATAATTGTCAAATTGCATCAAGACTTAATTGCCAACTTCTATCAGTGCATAAAACTACTGAGAATCATAGTCCAGCCAAGTTGACACATAACTTACCCAACACAGCCAGTTTTACTTGCACCTTACACTCACCCTTCATTACTGGATGAATGTATGCCGTTAATAAGCAAAATGGTTGGGAAAATTTCTCACTATTGCAATAAATGTGAAATGTTGAAAACAAGATTACCAATGTTTGTACAGTAGGTATATTTGAACTGTTAAAGTTGAGAATTGTGAGGAAATGGTTAGTTGCCATTTACCAAAAATTAAAAAAAAACACTGCTCAAATTAGGAGAGGTGTAAAAATAGACATTACACTACAATGCCCAGCTATAAATATTTTCACAGGCATAACAAGGTAAACCTAATTACTAATTTAATTTTTAAATTCCTCATAAATATTTTGGGAGAATGAAAGAAGTAAAGAAAGGGAATGTGGAGAAAAGTGCAATTAACATCTAAAATTAAAGAAACAACAGTGCTCTATTTGTTATATATTTAACAAAGAATAAAACTTTTAAATCAAAGTTCTAATGGAATGAGTTACAAAACAAAAACAAATTAATAAATTAATAATTATGATGATTTGAAGGATACATTGCAAAAGACAAAACAAGCAGGCACCAAACTACGCTGATGTTCATTTCTTGAGTTGGCTTCACAAAACTATAGTAGACTTCAGTTACTAGATACACGACTGTAGCAGCCACTGTGAAATCCACCAGCCACTGGTATTCTGGAAAGTAATGCAATGCTGAAAAATACAAGTTAAAAAAAAAAGTTTCACTGTAACTCTTTTCAGTAGCTTACATGGCTTTTTTTCAATGTTAGGATATTATTTGTTGATTTTCAATATAAGGTTTGCAAATACCAAAATCTAAAAATGAAAAAAGTAGAATGAAAAATTTAGCATTTGAAACTAAACTTTTATACCTCATAGTTTAAATAATAAAATAAAGCTGAAAATATTACAAAAATAATTATTTAAACTTATGTTAAAATAAATGTTTATTTTCTTAAGTGATTAGCAATTTTTTTAAGGGAAATGATCAAGTTTTGTTTTGTTTTTGTTAAAAGAATCTAAGCTATGATACCTTAAGACTACAACTAGGTCTAGAATGCAATGGATGTACTTTTACGTTTTATTTCTGTTAAGAGAGTTAAGCTTTATATTACAATTATTAGTGACATTAGTACAAAACTAGAAATGTTGTGAGTCACCATAGACTAAAATAATACATAAATATACATTTCATTTATTCTACTATTCTGTTAAGAAAAGCTGATGAAATGTTTGTTGATTTTCCATAAAACCATATCCTTTCAACAAACTATTTCATTCCAAGTATTTACATTTAAAATTAACATCCTCTGAACGTAAATACAAGGGGGCTTAAAAAAATTCATTTTCCCACAAACTTTTGGAAGTCACCAGCAAAATTTCACCTTCCTTTGTTCATATTTATTGTAAATGTGTTAGAAGGTACAGATATTCTCATTTATTTCTGCTAGAGTATAATCCAAAATATCAACATCATCTTGTAGGTCGGTCTCCTAAAAATGTAAAATAAAGTACATTTACGTAAATCCATTCTTACGTTATCACTATCTACTCTGAAAATTTTCAGATGTATAAATAATACAGTTATAACAGGATGCAGTATTTTTTTAAAACACATTTACAAACTGTGTTTTAAAAATAAAATAATAGAGTGGGGCCAATTAAAACTATCTAACTGAACTAACCAAAACTACCATGTCTCCAAAGTAAGGTTTTTTTTTTTAATAATGGGTTTTAGATTGGTTAAATTTTTCATTTACTACAAGTTATTTTAACTACTTTAGCTCTTTCATTCTGTCAAGTTTAAAGCTTCTGAACATGGACCTAATAGATTAATCCTTGAGTGATTACAGGATTCCTATGTAACAACCCCCCTCACCACACTATAAGGGGGAGGATAACTCAAAATTCAATTTTTGAATAAATTTTTGAAAGGAAGGCAGAGAAAAGGGTGTAACAAACATTCATTTCTAAAGCTGTCAAATTTGTTAACAGTTGAAGCAATATTCTGATTCTCCATGCTTGCTCACACTCACACAGCTTCCAAGAAACTCACTCAGAACAAATAGTCAAGTAACATTAAAATGTTCTATGTTCTTTAAGAAGTTCCTAGAGCTCTGGTAGCATAGTCGTTACGAGCTGGGCTGTTCACCTTAGGGTCAGCAGTTTGAAACTACAAGCTGTTCCGCAGGAGAAAGATGAGGTTTTCTGCTCCCGTAAATATTTACTACCTCGGAAACCCTGTACAGGGTCACTGTGAATTGGAATGGACTCCACGACACATAACCACCATAATAACACAACTGTTATTGTGTCTTGGTATGGTACTATAAAGGCTGGGCTGCTCATCATATGGTAGGTGGCTCAGACCCATCAGCTGCTTCTCAAAAACCCTATACAGGGTCACTGTGAGTTGGAAGCTATTGTTGTTAAGTGCTGTCAAGTTGGTTCTGACCAATAGCAACCCTGTTTGTATAGAATTACTGAGGAGCGGCTGATAAGCTTGAACCACCGACCTTGCGGTTCAAACTGATCTTGCAGTCCAGTGCATTAAACCAGAGCCACACCAGGACTCCAACAATAAAATAGATAGCTAATAAGGAGCTCTGGTAGCGTAGTGGTTACGAATCGGGCTGCGAACCTTAAGGTCAGCGGTTCGAAACTACCAGCCGCTCCGCGGGAGAAAG